GAACAGTGGAGAGGAAGGATGTGAGATCGGCGTGGATTTCAGAAAGGAAAGGCATAAAAAAGCAGTCATAGAAGCACTGGTAGAAAATCTCCTCTGAATTCAGCTTGAGGCTATGATTTGAGTCCGATGTTTAAGTGGGTTGAATAAGTGATATCGGTTAATGATTACAACAGAAAGGTGAAAAAGGCAACCTTCCGGGTTTTAGGCTGGAATTAAGCACAGTTTCCTTTTTTGTCTGTCTTAATAGACACAAAAAGATATCATAAATGTATTGTTTCTATTTTTCATTTTGTTTAAAGGAAAAAATAAAATGTTATTTTTGTTTTTGCTTTCAACCTAGTTTATGTTAAACACGTGTTTAGATTAACCAAGGTGTATCTGCATGTTGACCCCTTACAAAGGAATTTCAGGAAGCCTTTAAGCTTCCCGAACATCCAACATCCCAGTGCCTTTGTTCAGAACGTCAAAACAAATGGTTTCCATTACTTTGTACTGTCCAATTTGGAAAGTTAAAAGAAAGGCGTGAATACAAAAGACATGCTCAGTATCAGTAAGTTTTCTGAATTAATTCTTGTTGAGAAGTTTCTGAGAAGTCTCATTCCTGCTAGCAGACTGCTGATCCAGGCTACAGTTGCAGCATAAAGTGACAGTGTGATTCTGCTTGCACTAGTAGCAGCCAAACTAATATCTGGTACAGCTCACTGGTCCTTAGGGTCAGGCTCTCCTTCACGCGGACGCAGACTAGGACTCAGTACAGCCCCTTCCCTAGCACCAGCAAACAGCATCTCTTTTCATGGTAACGGTTCTGAAATGCCATTTAGTCATGCATTGCTAAACTTCACAGTTAGTGAAATGCTGAGAAAAATGAGTGGAGCTTTCCAAAACTAGAGTGTTTCAAGGCCAAAAAAGAAAAAGAAAGTGTGTCTCATTATCTTGTTGAGTATTTTAGCATAATCTTTAGGAAGAATACATCTTGAAGGCCAATTTACAAGCATCAGGATAAAGAGCAGTCAGAACTGTGAGGGTTTTAACAGTCCCACACACTGTTCAATTTAAGTGAGAAATGTTGCACTGAAGATTGAAGCTTTATTTTATTATATACTGTTTTAGCAAAATTAGATGATACAAAGCATTTTAGTACGATTCTGAATGTATAAGAATATCTATCTTTGTTTCTTGCTCCATTTTTTTTTTTTTTTTTTTTTTTAACAGCATACTTAATTTTAGATCCATGACCTATGATCTTTAATAGACTTTCTGACAATAATGATTAGGATAGTGGATATGCAGTATCAAATTATCAATAACCTCCTTCTCTGAAATTACACTAATGAATCATCATCCAACAGGGATATTCTACTCAAAACACAGATCATTAACTCACTCACATTTTTACACAATAAAAACCTCAATTTTCCTTCCTGACATTCTTCCAGGAAATAATATATATGTATATGTACCGTTGATATTTTTTTTAAACTGTGGGGTTTGGATTTGATTTTTGGTTTTGTTTATCTTTTGAAAGCTGCAACTGAAAATTCATTAGTTTGCACACTCTTTTATTTCCTCCATGCACTATTTTGTAATACATATCTTCATATAAAGCATTTAAAATACAACGTAAAGAAATAACTTGAATAATGAAATCTCTCTTAATGGCCTCAGACTGGAAATGCATAAGATCTGTATAATTCTCACTATATTCTGGGAATAAATGGACCCTAATATTCCATTGAACACCTTGATTAAAAAGTGTGACTAAGATAGGCTCCTTAAGGATTATTGACGATTAATTAGCATTTGATATTAACTATCTATATCCACATCAGAAGAAACCAAGCAGTGTTTCGCTCTAGGTAGTTTCCAAAGAAAGAAGAAATTTCACCACTGAAACGTCTATTGTGATGAACATCTCAATTAAAATATTTTAATAGTCTTTTAAACCTTGAAATGTAATCAAAATTGTAATAAAATATTCTGCTTTGAGGGCTGAATGAAATACTTACAAGCACATTTTAATTTCATTGCCTTCATTCTATCAGATTTGAGAAAGTTTCATTTTAAACAAATTTATTCTCTGCTTCAAACCTGCATAGGGCGCATACTAGGGATACTAAATTTCTGCATAAAAAGATCAAGATAAGCACATTCCTATCTGACATTTTCTCAAACTTTTTTTATCTGTTCAAGCAAGAAAACATCTGTAGAAATTCTAAGCACCCAGACTTAGAAAGAAAAACTGTGCCTGCAAATCTTTTATGCTTTTACCAGAGCAGGCTCACTCTTGTTTGGCCAAGCATTTCTTTCTGCATGTTCTGCAGGGTTGTATGTCAACATCCTTTCTTTGAAAATGCCTCAGTGTATTACCACTTCCTTTATGGCTAGGAATTTAATTAGTACCACAACATAATTACTGTCAGTTGCCGCCCATTTGTATTTCCCATTGAAGTACTCTTTCTAAAACATGTCATGTGGCAAGCATGGAGTCAAGCAGAACAAAGGAAGAGAACAGATGCACTCGTGGCTGCTTCTGCTGCTAGTGATTCCCCATCATAAAAATCCCTCTAAGAAATCCACCAAAATTCTTGGATGATGATTCATCAATGTTATTGCAAGGAAGGAAGTTACTGATGATCTTGTTGGCCTTATATACTTGCCCTTGCTCCCAGGAATGAAGCTGCAAGAAGGGAAATTTAGAAATTTCTTCTGCCAGAAGTCTGGGAGTAGACCCTCTATAGGGTGGCCCAACTACTAAATCTTCCCCAAAGTGAATTATTTTGTTCCTGTTAGTTAGTAGCTAGAAAGATTCACAAAGCCCTAATTGAAACCATGCTTGGTGTACCATATGTTATCTTTCTTAATGTTTGGAGAAGTTCTCTAGGTCTGTATTAGAAAGCAATAGCTAGGTAGAAACTTTAGAAGAAAATTGCCCTTTCTCACGCTGTGTTAAGTATCAGTTTTATGGCTACATCCTCAGCATTGCAAAGAGGGATGTAGCTGCAGAAAATGAGAGCCTTTCTATGCTGCAGTTTTCTTTTAAAAACTTCCATAGAAACCACAACTTTAAAACAAGATATTCTCAAACAGCATATTGAAAAGTACAAAGATAACAGCTTATTCTCCAAGCCATATGGAAGCATTTTCAGTCCATCTATGCAGTTGAGGATGGGAAGTCACGTAAAAGACTCCAACATTCTAAGTAAAACAAGCTAAATCCCTTGCACTTAAGTATTATTGAAGAGTACTTGAAGCTAGCTCACCAGTTTGAAATGTAAAGGGGGACTGCATGCTGGCACAGGTAATAAATGGAACATTGCATTTTATGAGTGTTTATATTAATAATGTAATAGCTAACTTCAGAAGGCTTACCAGCTACATGTAAGGGGATACTTGTCCCAGATATTGAACCAAATCAACACTGTCAACTCCATTATTTTATCACTGCTTATGTTATTGAAGGAAGCCTTTGTTAAAACAAATCTGTTTACAAAGAAGATATGAGATTTTAACTAGATCGGTACTTATGTTCTTTCTTAAGTTTATCCCAATGTGCGAGCGGGTAAAATCTGTGGGGTTGGTTGGGGAATCTGAAAGGGTGGAAACCGTCTTCAGCATATTGGCTTTGTTTAAATAGCACTTTGTCCTATTACCAAAAAAAGTCTAAATTGCTGCATTCACTTCATCTTGTCTACAGTTAAATGATATATGCAGTAAAAGCATTCTTTTTCTCTGTGGTTTCTGGTCTGAAAATTCAGCACTATATAAACTGAACAAATAGAAGGGAACAATTTCACTACTCATTTTTGCACCTTCCTTCCCACCAATGGACTGCCAAACAATATTTTTCCTCCTGAATCCAAGTTTCATCTGTCAACCACAATAGATTTTAACTGTATCTCATCTCCAGTTTTGGTCTCATATGGAATTCCTTTAATACTAGTGGTTTTCAGCAAGTAACTCTGTGCTTGTGAAGAAGGAAATGTGCAAGACTAATCTCAATTTTTTTGTTTGTTTGTTTCATATTTAGGCAAATATTTAATTTCATATTAAGCAGAAATACAAGTTAGACAAATAGTAGAAGGAAAAAGGTAATGAAAATACAATGAAAAGTTCCCAGATGTTCACTTAATAATAATTCTTTTTTTTTTTTATCTAAATCCCAAGTATAATTCTAAATAGGTTAGAAATAGCTTTAACTAAAAATCTGAAAAGCCAAATTGCACAGCCATTGTCAAACACATACAGTATTCCTGAGAGATGTGTGTATGTGTGCACAGCTGCACAGGCACATATACCATATGTCTGTGTATAAACAGTAGATATACGTACATGTGTGTATGCGCATGTGAATATTTTATAACCACATTGATAGGTATGGAAAAAAAAATGAATATGAATCAGACTTTTTCTAGCTCTTTTTATATTGGCTGAACAGTTCTGTGGTTTGGATTAGAAGTGAAATAAAACAGCTTGGTTCTTGTGTTAGAAACAAGTGAATTGAGTCTCAAACTAAAGTAGGTCCAGAGTAGCTTCTTCCAAATTGCAGTCTACCTACAAGACAGACTGCTACTAAACATGACAAGCTGACCTCATTCTCTTTTATGCTGTATAAACTTAAATATCCTGATTCTATGGCAGAAGTCCCCATCTAGATGAAGGATTATATCTTTCCAATATTTCAGTTTTTTACGATGTAAGCTGATTGGATAATTTCAAATAATTGAAAAATACACCCAACATTGTTCTCCTGCCCTTCTTTTCCTTCATTTTACCTTCAATTTCCTGTTGCATATCATTTTGATTCTTGTTTGTTGTTTTAGAAATGTGTGTGTATGGGAACTGTTGAGTCACGGCCTGAACCTCTGATTGATCACCTGAGGCGAGCCATGAGTCAGCCACAGGAGCACAGGTGAAGGCAATTCACCTGTGCTGCTGGAAGGGGTGGAGCCTGGCTGCACCTCTCCTAAACCTATTTAAGAGCTGGCTACCAGCAGGGAAGCTTCTCTTCTGGAGATTGCCTCTGCTGGTGTTTTGTGAGTGAGCCCAGGATAGAGGTAAGCCTTCTGTTTATTTTTGTTTCTTATCATAGTCTGCTTTGCCTAACTCTCTTGTTTGTTTTGTGATTGTAACATCCTAATATTCTTTGATTATACAGTGTGTTTATCAATCTACGTTCTTATTTGCTATACTCATTTTTATATTTTCAATACATGGCTTATTCTTTTCATCCTCTGGGCACCTCTTTCAGAAACAGGAGAAGGTCTCACATAGAGCAATAACAGTCTGCTTTTTTTAAGTAGAGTGCTACTAATAAGAGAGTTCTTAATCTGTAGACCATAAGATGTGGCCAGGCAACAGGCACATGGAGAATTTCTTGGCAAAACATGAGGTGATTAAATCCAGGAGCAAGGGCATGTTAACAAGCACTTCTGTTGGTTGGAGTGTGCAGTCATTCTAGCCACCACAGACTGCATTTGCTCTGGCAGAATGCTGAATTAATTTCTCAAAAGGTAGACCTAGATATAAGAGTGCTGAAATAAATCTTCTGTTGGAAGATTGATTTATTTTGAACTTGAAAATGTAACAGATTTTCTTGTAAACTGATGTTTATCTGAGTTAAATTAACAACTTCTGTGAAACTTATTAATGAATATCAATCTATGAACATTTAATTTTATGCTTTAGAAAACGATGAAAAATGAAACATAATCCTTGAAATAAGATATTATCCAAGGAATATAAACATAATCCAAGGAATATTCTATCATTGATTTTAATAAGAATACGAGAAATGTAATCATTTTCAAAAATGTTCATTTCTGTTCTTTAAGTGCTTACAATTTTATTGGAATGAAAATAATTATGTATTTCAAAACATAACTAGAACAAATAAAGGAGAGTAAATTTCTTTAAACTATCTGTATTATAGGCTAAAATGAAACATCCTCCCAAGAACACTGGCAAAACATGTTACTCACTTCTAATATGACAAAATGAATGTTTGTTTTCCAGCTGTATCTTAGTAGATCATAGAGTCATAGTATCATTAAGGCTGGAAAAGATTTCTAAGATCATCTAGTCCAACTGTCTGCCTTCCATCAATGTCGCCCACTGAACCATGTCCCTAAATACCACGTGTATTACATACTGTTCTTAAACAGCATTTAAGTCAGTAATCTTGAGGTAAGAAATGTGGTTTCTAGGTAGGACTATGTACAAATTAATCATCCCTTTCCTTTCTTCTCTGAAGATATTTGAGATTTACATCTGTAGTGCATAAAATGCTCTGAAAGAAATGCCTCCTATTTATTTCCATGGAAATCACAACAGGTAGAGCACAATAATTCTATTTGATAGAGAAAATTCTCGGCTACAGAATACCGTTCTACAATGTAGTTGATTAATGAAAGCCTGCATGCCATGCTTGTAAAAATCCGCACGGCCATCCAGAATGTGGTTTGTCTTCCATGTCATTGTCACCACTGCTGAAACACATCACCCACCATCTCACTGTGCTTACATCCACTGTTTCGTCTCCATAAGCATTCAGCAATGGGCACCATTTTTTCTCATGGAAGAACTGAATTTCATCTCTTTGCTTCATACACCTCCATTTTCTGACATGGGTCAGACACTATTTTGTCAGACTGCTCCTCTGCTTCCATCTGTCACACAGCAACAAAATGTAACAGGATATTGATGAGAAGTTTCAGCCTTTATTGCCATAGCACCAACATCCACCTCTGACATCGTGGGCCAACATAATAAAATTAGAGATGTAATTTTTGGAGCAGGCCCTGTACAACTGCCAGCTTGAACTTAAACACTTGCTGAAATGTTTCTGTTGGTAGAGCTAATGTTGTACTGTGTTCACCTCAGGTTCTGCGTAATGAGAAATATTTAATTTAGTGAAAATTCAGCTGCACTTTCGGGTAGGGTTTGTTTCTGTAGTATTTACAGTAATTTTTTTCTGTTCTATCTAGCCAGCAATGAGCTTGTTAATTTACTCAGGGCTTTGTTATGGTTACTGCTTTAGCAGTCGTCCGTACTAATGTGTATGTTTCAGTGTCTCTGTACATTTTGGTGATGCTCAACAGTGCTGGTACCTTCCCCTCCAAACATAGCTATAACTTCTATCTTTTCTCATTTCACTGTGCCTCAAAATTACAGCATTACAGCCAGTGTAGTGCCAACTGCATAACTGTGTCAGGTATTTTTGGGAACTTGTCACTAATATTTGATCGTTATTCACAAAGTTTATGATGAATAGTTTAAGACAGCCTATGTTCCTTTGACCTGAAATTGCAATCACTCTTGACAACAATTTTTTTTCTGTGAAATGAGTTTTTTCTATTCCTCCAGTGCACATGCTTTGACACAAGAGTCAACCACTAGATAACGAAAATATGCAAACAAGTGCACCTGTACAACAGATAAGAGCAGTTCTGGGTGTGCAGCTGCTGATTTGTTTCCAAAACTAACTGGCAGGTTGATTGAGCTGGGGTGAATTAGGAGAACAATCTGCTATGGAAAGTGGACACCACATAATTAAAAAACATTTTTTCCCTGCGCCATTTCTTCTCAGACGTTTATTTCTTCATTTCAGTTTCATGCTCTATATCTGGTTTGAATGAGAAATGTTTGGTCTACCTGGTTGCTGTCAGTTGCAAGTAATGTCTGTTTACTATGTGCGCTGAATTAGGCAATTAACCGTTTGAACGCATTTGTGCAGATAGCCAAGTAAAATTTTACTGGAATACCTAGTTGTCTCAAAAAGGTCTTGATTTACTTGGATTAAGGTTGCTATGAGTCCATGGAACCGTCATCCAGCATTTGCTGATACGCAAGTCCCTAGAAAAAAAAAAACTATGTTGTGGATTGGAGATTAGAGAAAAGTTTATGGGAAATCATAAAGCAAAGCTTGTAGAATCCCCCTTAAGTGCTCGCCTCTAATGCTTCTGGCTTCAGTTGTTATAGATTGAGAATTGCTCAAATTAAACTACAGGCAGCTATAACTAACTGAAACCTCATGTAAGAAATCTGCAGTGTTTAAGAGCAGGCAATAAGGCTAAAGATAGGTTAGGCTGGTTGTGTTAATCACTTCTAGCTTAAAAGTTGCTTGTTAGAGTCAGCTGGTGCCAGAGCTAGAGAGACACGTTATGTGGAGGAGGATGAAACCAAATGCAACACTATTCTAAAGAAAATGCTCTGGGCCAGATTTGCTGCTGTCACAAGTGGCAGCTTTCCATTCGTGTCAACTCCCTTAAAAAGTGGGGGAAGAAAGAGTCTGTTTCAAGACACTTGACAACACTGAACAAAATCTGTCATGACACAAAGTTCATTGGTTTTATATTACAATAATTAAAGCTATTATATTTATATCTTCTAACTAACTTAAAATATGTTCTTTTTAAAACTTTGAAGTTCCTGGAAGATGAAGATTTAAGCACAAAACCACAATATTTCTAATTCCTCTCTGGAAGCAGGAAAGATAGCTCTATAATTAAGCATTTCAGAAATTAACCAGTAATATAACTTTAATTATGTGGTTAATTTTTAAATAGAGCAGATGTGTTTTGACATTTACTGGAACCACTGTACTTTTGCAGAGCATTTAGATATTAATAGAAATTCGCTTATGATTTGCGTATGCATGTGCCAACAACATTTTTGTATTTCTAAAGAAAGCAAATCACACCTGAGTTCTAGCATATGCTGCTTTAAATTTTTTTTTCCTACTTTCAGTTTTTTTTTATATTTAAAGACTTCCAGGAGGTCTTCAATGAATTTCCCCCAAAAAGAAACAGAAAATTCTGGAGAGGCAGGAAGATGGTCTTGCCAGTCAGACCCTTGTGAACAACACAGTTTCTCATCTCAATTCACAGTCAGTGTTGTTGGAGCTGAATTTTGGCCTTCCTTACAGCTATAAGCAATACACAACAACTTTGCATTTCTAGTGTGTAACGAGGCTTGGATCTGGACAATGAAAATGCCAGAAGATGCTCCTGATGCAGAAGCTCCAGCCTCTCTGAACACAACGTAGACTCAGAAGCTAGCTTTCAGGTATACTGGTTCCTAGTAATCAGATCATCCTTTATCCCTCCATCCAAAAGAATTGAGGGGAAAAAAAAAGTTATTCATTATAGAATCCAAGAAAAGCAATGATATGTTATGAACAAACAATAGTTAAATGGTCAGTGATCCAACAATCAGTGAGACCAGTCAGTGGCAGTGTTCTTATCTAGTATGCTGATATCTCCACTGACTTTTGCTCCCAAAATCTTCAAAGATTCTCATTCCTCCCTTAACACCTTTCCTTGATGGCACTTCACACAACACATCTTTTACAGCTAAAGACTTTTTTTCCCTTTCTTGTAGTTAAAATGAATTGCTTCCCAATTTCCTTGTAAATATGAAAATTAATTTTAGTTGTTTCAGGACTGTAATGTTTTCCCTCTAAATACTGTTTCCTAGACAAAACAAAACTAATCATTCAGACTATTTGTGTCATATTTTCTAAACATTGTATCATTTTTATTGCTGTTCTTGGGACTATCTCCAGTTTGCATAGGGTATTGCTGAAAACTAAACACAGCTCTCTAGTTGAGGTCTCATCAATGGAATAACCACTTATGTATCTTCCCCAAAACACTCCTATCAGTATGTCCTGGCTGAAGCACATTAATTTTTTCTTTCATGAGAACAATATTTGGTGCATTCACACTTATTGAATTCAACCCTATTGATTTCACTTATCCACATATCCACAAGTCTTGCCATTTTAAGTGAAAATGTAGAATAGAGAGGTTCTAGGACATATATCTGTGTAATCTTGGTTGAATTCCTTTCCAGTTTTCCAAGAAATAATAAGAAAACTTCTCAAAATAGGACATTTACTTCAAAGTTCCATAACTTTTCTAATTCACTATTTTTAAAAATTAAAAACATGGAAACCCCCAATGTGATTTTTATACATGATGAACGATTGATTGTAAAATTATTATATTATGAGTTATAATTCCTTGGCTTTTTCAGTGTTGCTTTCTCAGATAAGACTCAATGTTTGAGGGGATTTTAAAACTTCATATGCCACTGCCTTCTATGCCTACAGGATTTTAGGATTAATAAGAGTAGATGTGATTAGCAATGTAGGACGTATGCAGTTTCTTGGTTTAGAAAACTTGATAGACTGTAATCTGAGCTGGTCTGATTATTATTTTCACTGCTGTGTCAAAATGATTGAGCTCTTAGACTTCATAGCTCATGAGATTAGTGTTGGGATATAGATCTTCTCACTTTTGTGTTGGACAATTCAGATCTGACTCAAATATATACTTTACTGTGCTGAAGCTGCAGCTGAAATTAGTTTTACTCTTATGAGCTTGGACATTCCTGAAATAGCTTTAAAAGTAACTTCCTACACAGTCTACAGGAAGTCTAGCATTCTCCTCCAGCTGTATGGTGTAATTGGTTAGAGTCAACCATTCCTTTCTCCTCTTTTGATCTTGAAAATTTTGATTCTGCTACATAGAGTATAGCAGGCTTAGTGCTGAGGGATTGGTATTTCTATCTCCCCTTTCTCAAATAAGGCAACACGGCAAATGAAAGGACTGTTCTGTGCAATCACAGAATCAAAGAATCGTAGTATCATAGAATGGCTTAGGTTAGAAGGGACCTTAAAGTTAATCGAAATCCAGGGCCCTAACTGACCTGGCCTTGAATTCTTCCGGAGATGGGGCATACACAACTTCATTGGGCAGCCTGTGCCAGTGCCTCACCTCCCTCTGAGTAAAAAATGTCCTCCTAATATCTAATCTAAATCTTCCCTCTTTTAGTTTAAAACTATTCCCCTTGTTCTGCCACTATCAGATCATATAAAAAATTGGTCTCCATCCTGTTTATTAGCTACCTTAAATACTAGAAGGCTGAAATGAGGTCTCCCCAGTGCTTTCTCTTCTTCAGGCTGAATAAGTTGAACTCCTTCATAGCAGAGGTGCTTCAGCCCTCCGATATCTTTGTGGCTCTCCTCTAGACCCTGTCCATTAGTGGAATATTAGACCATAAAACTCTGATTTAAGACAGATATTTCATCACGTTACTGTCCAGTCTTCACTTTTTGTTTTGCTGTTTCCTTGGCTGCAGTCATTTGCATTATACTAAATACAGAGAGATCCAGAGGCCTTTGATATCTGATGAAGATCAAGACTGAAAGGACTGTGGCCTAGAAAGTAGAAATGAAAGGTTCATTTTTGCTTCTTTTTTTTGTACTTCCTTAAGCCTAATTTGATCAAAGGCATTCCTTTCATAAGTTACAACCCAAAAATGATCTTCACTTCCAGCAGTTGAGGCTATTGATAGTCGGCTACCTGCAGAAGTATCCAAAATCATCTAGGACAACGAAGTATGAAGAAGTCTCTGTGTTTCTAGAATCTGTCTGGCATTCTTTCATTTCCCATACATGTGTACAGACAAGAGTGTTTGTTAATCCCTCCTGTTTGTGAATAATATATGTGAAATCGACTACTGATCATCATAATGTTTCAATCCTCATTATTTACCTTCTTTGTTCTGAGCACTCTGGGGCTCGGTTTTGTAACTGAAGGCATCTTTATTGAATTACTTTATGAAAGTGATTCCATCTTATGCCAAGAAATGATGTGTAATAAGAATATTTGTTCTCCTAAGAAGGGCAGAAAAATATCACTACAGCTTGCGTAGCTCAAAAGTATACCAAAGTCAAAAGACTGCATATTCAAAACAGAAAATCTTCAGAGTGATTGGTGAATTAGTATGCTCTCTGTAATGAGGTCAGAAATTTCAGTAGACATTTGAGTAGATCATAATATTTTTCTGCATAGCTTGATCTGTCAGAACGTGACAGATATTCTTAAAATGGCTGTTGGCAGTTCTTATTTTCATTGAAAAAAAAAAAACAGCTTTTTTTTTTTAAAAAAAAGAATGTGTTTACCCAGAGTTTCTACCCAGAGGTACAAGAAGGAGATTTGAAGATTTTTTTTTTTTTTTCTTGCCAGGGATCTGCCTGCCTTGGGAGTTTGTAGTCTCCAGCAAGGAACCTGAAAGACACATCAGTGATTCCCACCCCCTAAGATGAAAATCAGCTGTTATTACTTTGATTGCTTTGTTCTGCTCACACTTACCCATGACTCTTCTTTCTCAATACTCATTCCCAAAACTTACTGAATTTCAAGCTAGGTTTTGAGTTACTTTTATGGTTTTTCCCAATATTTACTGACTTTTTAAGCTGTTCATAGTTTGAATAGTACTCACTCCTTGTCTTTATTTTTGTCCGCTTTATTTCCACTGTGCAGTCTTGAAATGCTGAATCTGAGGCAGTCATTTTAGTGGCCAGATAGATATAAAAAACATGGGAGTTTTAACTTTTCCACCAGCATGAAACCAAATGAAATGCTTGACTGTAATGAAAAAGCCGCTTTATTCAACTGCAATTTCTTGCAATGACAGCAACAGGATAAAGAATCTAGTTGGGATTACCATTTGGCATAATATAAGAGGATTGTAGAAATTAATGACACTGACTTAATAGGTTAAAGCAAAGACTTACTGCAGTGCTTTGAAAAAACTACCTTGCTATTAAATATATTGCTGCTTTCTTCTCCTGTAGGGGCTACAGCTGTTGAGTTGTCTCCATTAGTTGCCTCCAAGCACCTCTCCTCTCACACTGCTACTGCCATGGTTTTTTTTGTTTTCCATCCCACTAGGGAGGCTACATGCAACAAATGAAGTCTGGGTGTAGTGATTTTTCTCTGCTGTTCAGTTTTCACTCTTTTTCAACATGGTCTTATCGACGGGCAGTGGTCCTTACAGACAAGTACCTGCTCTGGCCTGTACCTTCAGAGGCTGCAGTCCCTTCAGGAGGGAGCCTCCTTGCACCTACTAGTTATTACCTTGTTCCTTCTGTTGTTCCTTTCCTGTTTTGTGCAACACTTTCTGTCCTCTCCAGGCTGTCCCAAGGCAAGCTGCTGGGATGCATTTTGTCCAACAAGGTGCAGCTTGGCTTTGCCTCACGCTGCAACCTCACAGTGCCCTGACACCAACTGGGCACCTGCGCTCAGTACACCCCCACTGTGAGCAGCTACTCCAGAATTTTATACTTCTCATCCACACCAGTCTGGTGTGCCATTGAGTCTCTAGACCTCTCTCTGATCTTTTTCTCAACCTCCCACTGGCAGCATATTGATGTCTGTCCAGGCCTTTTCATGCCAACATTGAGAGAACAAATTATATGATGAAATCTTAACTGTTGAAAAGTTATAGGTATAATTATTTATCTTTCAATTTTGTTTCACAGGGAGTACTTCAAATGTAGTACTTGCACTGGTGATATATTTTGAGGGCACAGCCCAGACTTCTGTAGTGCTGTAGGTGAAATGCTGGATTCCAGAAACGTTCTCTTGCACAGCAAAGCAGTCATTAGTGCCCAGTATGACATCCCAACTGCAGCAAGCAGAAGGGACTCAAGCTGTTTGTCTCTACCCAGAATGTAAGAATTGACATGCTTCCTATTCCCAGAGCAGTTTTCAGGTTTTTCATTCAACACCTTCTTTGTTGAACTGTCCCTTTGCTGAAGTAAAAAAGAAATAAAGGGAATGCTGGGAGGAACAGCGTGGAATAATTTTGTTTTTCATTTAGTCCGGCAATCTTTTAGATTTGTACCCACTTTATATGCTAGAGGGACAAGGGAAGTACAACACCTAAATCCATATGATTTTGAGGATATCTCCTGATCAGTAATTACATCCACCTGCTTCTGGCCAGGGCAAAATTCTCTTTCCTACATAGCTTATTTTTCCTTTGTCATCATACACCACAGTATATTTTTGGGCAGACATTTTGTCTTATGTATTTCTGCTTATTTATTATTTCTGTGTGAGACATTTCTCTCGCATAAGAGAGAAATCACTCTAGTTCATTACCTTTTCACTGAAGGTCTTGTATTGTGTGAGTGTGCAGGAGCTCATGTATCTGTCCTTGCCTCTCAACAAAAGAAAACTTACTCTGCCAGTTTCTCCTGGCTTTTTTGCTCTCTTATGTGGCTGCATTTCCATTTTGGTAATGCATGGTTTGTGCATCTGAATCAGCCTGCTGCTAAACACTAACTTCAAGATTAGGGGGACATGTTAAGTAATTCCTAATAAATGGCAGTGAATATTAGAAATTAGAAATGTTTAAATTCTGCATTAGAAAGGATGTTTTTTCTTCGGTTTTACTTTTCATCCTGCAACTTCTGGGCCTTAACATCTGCTTGAATTTCCAATAAAATTGAGGAATTTTCTTGTTAGTGCAGGAAAACATTTGGAGTTAGTTTCTCACTGAATAGCTCCATCAACTTGCAAAGCAAAGTATGCAAGATTTGACTCTTTCCTTAAAGAAGCTTTTCCATGCCTTCTATTACATCAAGAAGAGTGGTTTTTATCTTACACATTCTTGAGTTTGTTTTGAGTCCAAAAGGTAACTGGAGACCTAAGCTCAGTTTATTAAATCATCCCACCAGGTCCTTATTGAACTTTTGACCAGCTCCTCTAAAACAAGCCAGTAACCTACCATTGAGCTGGCACTAGGGCTCTGTTACAATTAGATTAAAAAAAAAAAAAAAAAAAAAAAAGAGGGGTAGAAAGAGAAGAAACCAAAAGAGAAAAAAAATTCCTTCCTTCTTATTATTATGATAAAATTTAAAGGATTGTTCGCTTCCAAACAGTAGGAGGTGGACAGATTAAAGTTTTAGGACTGTAACAACATCTCTCTTTGTGCTGTCTGGTTCAGCAATGTGAACCCTGTAACACTTGACATCCATCACAACATTTCCTGCAGTTACCATTCTTCTACTTAGGCCAAATCCCCAGTTCTGATTTGTAGTCTGTAATTTGGAGACATTAAATTACTATAATGAAGAAAATATCTGATGATGTATTGTGCTTTCGAATAATAAAACCACTAAAATTGCAGCTTGGAGAACTAAATCAAATATATAATTACCTTTGTTTGTAGGATTCCCTCTAAGAACGTTATGTTGTTTAATCCATGCCTTTCTTTCTCTTTTAATAACCCGTGTTCTTAGAAAGAGGATCATGCATTTAAATATGTTCTTGGCACTTAGCCCTACTCCCACCTCTTTTCCTTCCTTCTTGCTGACCCATAACAAATCTTCTGGTTTTAATTTCACTTTACATTCAAAAGCACTGACAGAGGCTTTAATGCAAAAAGCTTAATTTAAGTGTTCAGTTTTATTAGTTTCAATTCTCACACTTGGAAGGTGTCTTGGTTCCAAAATCCTTTGTTTGGTTGGTTGTTATTTTTCTTAGTCTTTCTTTTTAGATGAGTTGTATCTGGTATTAAAAATGAGTACAGTGATTGAATGTTCAGAAGCCAGTGACTTTAGAGAGCTTGCCAACATACAGTATGTGGTTCATTTTATTTTTTTTCCTCCCCATTAAAAATTTATTTTACACATTTGTAATCACTGTAGATACTTTCAGTGTAAGACACTTTATCCCTCCTTTTCATCACTCTCAACTCACTGTCACAGTCTTTTGGTTGTTTCCAGAATGTATCCCTGAGAGTAGCATGGAAAATAATTATCCCTTGCTCTCTTAGTTTTAAGGTTGACTGCCTTTCCTGTGCTCTCTCCAAAAAAGGGTCCTTTGAGATCAGTGATGATTCAACCTCAAATGTCTGAAAGCTTGTATATACGTGCCTGAAAACATCAGCCAACACTATTTTCTGAGTTTACTGAGTATCTAAAATTGTTCTGAAAATCTCAGAAGATAGCAATTAGGTACACGCGTTCTGAAGCTACCTAGCCACCACTGAAAAGGACAAGGGGACAATTGGCATTGTATCTTTCTTCTGGATTCTATTTAATACCCTGAAATTCAAATGAACAGTATAGGTGCTATGAGAGTTTGAATGAATCTTAAGAGAAGCTGCACTCTTTTCCTTTCTCACCTATATTAATTGAAGAGTAATTTGAAGGGAGCGAATGATCTTATTTTATCCATCCCAGCCTATACACAGACAAGATGAAAACTGAAGCCATGTGGACAGCTTAAAACAGACAATTTCTGCGGTTTGCCAGACCAACCTATCATTAATTCATCTTTTGCCGGAAGCAGTTTGGTGCTAAATTTTTTAGAATGGTTTCTCCCTTTCAGAACAAAAGCATGTATCTTTTATCCATATTACATTTGTTGATCTTAGTTCTAATTAGTACTAATGACTCAGTAAAGATGTATTTTTAACTCTACCAGTGATCAGAAAGTAGAAATAAAGAAAAACCACAGCAGCATGTAAAGTCTACATTGTCAGAATTATTTATATCATGGTACATTTCTGCTTACCCTGGATTGGGTCATGCTTTTCTGTAACTTAGAAGTATGCATTATCACTTAAGTAAGGAGGAGGAAGCCTGGTCAATGTAGGGATACACAGATAGAGTAAGAGATACTATTTTGGGAAATATGTCAAATAGAAACAAAATGTATGTTGGCAGGTAGAGCAGCAAAACAGCAAAAATCATACTGAATGTTCCAGCTTGACCTAAGAGCTAACAGAGACTGCCTTGCACATTATTTACCTTTTATCAAACATATATATCTCCTATCATCAGATTGGTTGGACATATATCTCTTTTGATATGATTCTAAAGAGAAAATTTCTTAACTACAGAGTACTCAGTCAAACACAATCAGATTCCTGGAACATGATGAAATAACACTGCAACCATTTGTTGAAATGTGAAAAGGCATTCTATACTTGTGTATATACTTTTGTTATCACAATAAAGATCAAAACAGCTAGTAGTATGAAGGGCTGACATTCTTTATTGTCTTTTTATTGTTTAACATTTTTTTACATAAACTACCAAACTAACAGCTGTGTATGAGATGGTAATAATACTGAATTTCCCCCTTGACCATATCCAGAATGAATTTAAAAAATCAGGGAAACCTCATTCCAGGCAAATCTTCCTACAGCTTGAGAAAGAGAAACTGAAAAGCCTAACATCATAGAGCAAACTGTGGTTATCATTATGCAAATTTCACTTTAGCTCAGTGACAGGCAAATATTATAGTGATGAACAGTTGTCTGTGTTCATTTTTTACAGCTTATGATTTTTTCCAAATACCCAGTATGAATTTTAACATAGAATCCTTGACAACTCTGAACAAATGTGCATTAAATTGCATTTAGCCATTTTCACTGCTATAAAATGATATTTTAAGTCTGCAATGAAGTGTTTGAGTACTACAGATTAAACCATGGATATGAGGGGAAAGTGTTGCTTAGCACTTAAAAATAATCCTGTCTTTGCCCTTTGGCTGGTCTGTCTTTTTTTCCAAGGAGGAGGAAGAACCGTAACCATTTGTCCTTCACAATTGGCTGAAGTTCCTGCAGCTTGAAGAAATGCTTAGGCAATTGCCTTCCATTTTTTGAAAATTTATTCCAATATAGTCTGAGAACTTTTTCTACATGGAAACATTGTTATTCCAAGTTTGAGCCTCAGAAATCATGAACGAGTCAAAAATGACTGCTGTAGTGCTGTAGAATCTTTCTAGAGCTGTTACTTAGATTTGGTTTTAATATTAAAAAAAAAAAAAAGCTTTGAGAGTTTATCCAAGTTCAATGTATTATATTTAGCCTCCTCCTTCTACTGGGAACTTTGTTCTAACAAATAACAAGTAGAACTTAAAGTTAAGGGTGCATATTATGGAGCAACGGCATCAGTGGACAAAGACATGACAACTAACGTAATCTATCTGGACTTCTAAAAGGCTTTTGATATGGTCACCTACCATGTCCTTATCTCTAAACTGGAGAGATATGGATTTGAAGGGTGGACTGCAGTGGATAAGGAATTGGTTGAAAGATTGCAGTGAGAGGTTTGTGGTCCATGGCTTTGCATCTAGGTAGAGAGCAGTAAGGAGCAGTGTCCCCCAGGGATCCATCTTGTGTCCAGTACTCTTTAACATCTTCATCAGTGACACAGATGATGGGATTGAGTGCAAAGTTAGCAAATTTGCTGATGAGAACAAGCTGAGTGGTGTGGTTGATACAGCACAAGGAAGAGGGACCTTGGTAAACTCAAAAGGTTGGCACTTGTGAACATAATGAGCTTCAACAAAACAAAGTGCAAGGTTTTGCAATTGTGTCAAGGTAATCCAGATATGTATGCAAACTGGGAGACGAAATTGAGAGTAGCCCTGCTGAGGAGGTCTTAAGTATCCTGATAGATTAAAAACTTAACATGAGCCAGCAGTACATGCTAGCAGTCCAGAAGGCCAATGGTATCCTGGATTCCATTAGAAGAGAGGTGGTCAGCAGGGTGAGGGAGGTGATTGTTCCCCTCTATTCTGCCCTCCAAGTCTGAGGCCCCCAGTACAGGAAAGATATGAAACTTTTGGAGATGATTCAGAAGAGGGCCACAAAGATGATCCAACAGCTGAAGTACCTTTTGTTCACCTTGAATAAAAAAAAAAAAGGCTTTTTTGGCAGTCTCTGCAATGAGGTGGAGAGACCTCACTGTGGCCTTTCAATATTTAAAGTGAGTTTATAAACGTGAGAAAAATCAACTTTTTACATGGGCAGATAGTGACAGAACAAATGGGAACGATTTAAAACTGATGGGAGATTTAGATTAGAAGTCAGAGGGAAGTTTTTTTACTGAAAGAGTAGTGAGGAGCTGGAACAAGTTGCCCAGAGTTTGTGGTTGCCCCATCCGTGGAAGTGTTTAAGGCCAGGTTGGGTGGGGCCTTGGACAATCTGATCTAGTACTTGATCTAGCAGTTGGCAACCCTGCCTGTGATACGGGGGTTTTAACTTGTTGATCCTTGAAGTCCCTTCCAACCCAAGCTATTTTATGATTCTGTGATTCATGTCTGAAGCAGGCGGCTTCCCCAAGATTTAGTGTCTGCTAAGATAGAGACCTTCTTTCTGTAATAAAATGCCATTAAATTATGATGGATTCTTTTATGTGCTTATGCGCTGCTCTATTCTGCTCTCCTGAGACTTCACCTGGAGTACAGCATGAGTTCTGGAGCCCTCAACGCAAGAAGAACTTGGGGTTGTTGGAGCAGGTACAGAGAAGGGCCATGAAGATGATCAGAGAGCTAGAGAACCTCCACTACTAGGACAGGCTGAGAGAGCTGAGGCTCTTCAACATGGAGAAGAGAAGGCTCCTGGGGGACCTTATAGCACCCTTCAGTACCTGAAGGAGGCCTACAGGAAAGCTGAGGAGAGACTTTTTATAAGGGCATATAGTGACAGGACGAGGGGAAATGGCATTAAACTAGAAAAGGGTAGATTTAGACTAGATATTAGGAAGTAATTCTTTACTGTGAGGGTGGTGAGACACTGGAACATGTTGCCCGGTAAGGTTGTGGATGCCCCCTCCCTGCAAGCATTCAAGACTAGGCTGGATGGAGCTTTGAGCAACTTGGTCTGGAGGGAGGCGTACCTGTCTATAGCAGGGGGGTTGGAAATAGATGATTTAAAAGGTCCCTTCCAACCCAAATCATTCTATGATTCTGTGATCTATGTAGCGCCTAATGCAATAGTCTCAGTCACACACAAAAAACAATCATATAGTTTCATTCTTCGTGTTTCCAATTAGATTTAATGCCAACTTGCAATTTAAAAAAAAAGCATAATTATCAATATGGCAATGCTACAGTTTCCCTGTTATAAACTTTAAAGATAGTTGTCAGAATATTACAGGTTGATAGTTATTTACAAGCAGTTAAGCAGGATAATGCCTAATACACTATAAAAAACAAACAAACAAAAAACAATTAATGTATCCCTCTCTCTTCCAGCCAATTATTATTATTTTGGGCATAACCCACTCAGTTCTGTAGACCTGTAACTGACACAGACACTTGGATATCTTCTTGATTTATGTCATTTTATTTAGATTCCAGGCCTAAGGTATACATTGTTTTGTGTTCAAGCCCACGCATCATTTTATTAATGTCGTGTAGCCTATTGTATCCTATTAACTAGGTGGTTGAATGTGGTAAATAGGTATTTTTAGGATCAAATTAAAAAATAAAGTGAAATACTTGTTCAGCTCCTGATCTTTGAATTTGCAGCTTGTTACCAAACTCCATAACATGTTAGTAGCACAGAAAAGCTGAAGATAGTTATTTCCTGAGAGAGGCCAGGTCTTTTTGGCGGTGGATTATAATCCCTTATTTGCAGTAAAATTCTTGCAAATACTTATGTAGTAAGAGAGCTGAGGGTGAGATTCAAGGAGTCTATCACTAAATTTTCATCACGCGTAATTGCATTCTTTCTCATTAAAATCCCACTCTGATTCTAATTAAATTCATAATTGTTCTACGTTTTATGCTGTAAACTGTTGTGTAGTGTTGTTGGGTGCTATTTAACAGATGTCAGTTTCCCCCCAAGAGGCAGTGGTATTTCATTGCTTTGTGAACTGATCCTTGAATGCAAAATCTGAACAGGTCCCTAGACGGCCAAGCAGGAAGGGGGACGTTGTGAACTAGCAAGAATAAATAAATGAGGTAACCTAAGAGTGTCTCTCGGAGTGCATGGGATGTAGTTCCTTGTACTTCAGTAGACATTAATAGTGTAATCCAATGTTCTACTTCTATCCTCTATTCATATAAACTTACAAATTCATATTGATACTTCAGTGCACTGTTCTCATGCTTAACCGTACAGATGCAGATCATGGTTAGACATTTTCATTAATTTTCTTTTTTGCAGTACAGGTCTTCAGAATTACCTGAAACTGTTCTGATACACAAAGACACATACAGACACACAGTTGGGAAATTAGTTTTCAGAACAAATTGGTTGTTTTCAGAACATTACTCTTTCAAGTGTATCAATTTCATTCACTGTCCACTTGAATTCCAGTCTGCACATATTCAGTGGTTTCACTGAAGTCCCAGTGTCCTAATCACCTGCTTAACAGTAAAACTTCAGCTTTCTTGTTTTAATTTGAGGTTTGGTTTCTGTGTGCTCTGTTGTGGAGTTTTTGTTTTGTTTTGTTTTTTTCCTTTCCTTTAGTTTTCAAAATAAGCATTGATTATGTGATATTTTTAAAAGATAAGCTTCTGACTTTCTGAGACTCAACTGTCTATGTTTTAATGATCAGACTCAATATTACTAAACTGATTATGGCTGTATAGAAGGTTAAGAAATAATACACTGTAGTACACTGGATGATATACTGTAGGCCTACTATAAGGAAGAAATGGGATTAAGGAACTGAGAAGGTAAAGCAATAAGATGTAAATGTATCACCATCATTTTTAGTTCTTCCTGCATAGCAATATTCCCAATCTGAAGCTGCTTTTAAAAGGTTTTAGGAACCTCGAAGTCAGTTGTATTATGTGTGCTATTATTTACCATACACACTAACATCAAAATTGTCCCTTCTCTTCTACTCGTATTCGCATTCTGGGAAATTTGAATAGGAGAATAAGGTTGAGAATATTCTATTCTAAATGTGGTGAAGTTCTGAATAATATATTTTTGTTTATTCCTTATTCATATTAATCAGAATCAGATATTTCAGAGAATATCTCAGCATATTGTACTTAGGACTGACTAAAAGATTCAGATAAAATTTTTAGCCATACACTGCTTATCATGAGTGGTAGGTATTAGAGGTTAAAAACATTATTCAGCATTCTCATATACCTATGAAATATGAATACTGTCCTGCTCTCTACAGATGCTGTCATGATTATTTTTTCATTGCTGTGAAGTGTCTTTTTTTTTAAAAAAAAAAAAAAA